GCCTAATAAAGAGGAGTAGTCCCTGGCCGAAACCCATAAAAATAAAAATGCATCATCGGCAAAAAAAAAAAAGACAGAATAGGGCAATGATGAATAAATTGGACGGATGCCTTTTAAGCCAGGCAGTTGAAGTGATTGAGTAAAAAGAGACGAAAATCCTTCCGTACAAATTGAAAAGTGTAAAGATGACAACGGATCACCTTGACGAAGACTCCGGGAAGGATGAAAATACCCATACGAACTACCATTGAGAAGTACCGAGATGGAAGTGGTAGAGAGACAATTCCGAATCAACCTAATTAGATAAGGATCAAACCCCAATGCGCCCATCAAACGAAAAAGGTAAGGTCATTCAATTCGATCATAAGCTTTTTCAATATCTAATTTTAGGGCCATGAAACGTTCCTTGCCAACACGCTTATGCTTGAGATATGTCATAACCTCTTGGATAATGAGCACATTATCCACAATGGAACGTTTCTTGAGAAAACCATTTTGATAGGCTTAATTGCAAGTTTGGTCACCCGAATTGCTTAAAAATTTCACGTTTGCCACTCAAATTGATTTATTCCATTTATAGTCACTCGAATTAGTTGAATAGTCCAAGTTCGGTCACTCTCCGTTAACCTCCATTAGACTCCGTTAATGACGACCGTTAAGTGATGACGTGGCTAACAGAATGACACAATCAGCACATTTAAACATTAAAAAACGACGACCCGATCCGACCCGCCAGCTCAGCCTTACCCGCCCTGTCAGCCATTCTTGCCCAACCCGCGAACCAACCCAATTAATTGACCCTAAACCCAAACCCTCAGCACGGCATTCTCGATGGCAAGAGGCAGTCCGTCTTCATGAAAGCCTGGGCTCACACTTGCAGGCAGATCGTCGGAGACGGAGGCGTCGATTTCCCACCGCCGCTACCGGAATCGCTGGCTCCGGTCTTCGATCGAACAGGCATCGTCGACTCGCGGGAAATTGCGGTGGAGTATTTGGACGATTGGTTCCGATTCCGGCTCAATCTGCCGGGGATGGATCCCAATCCAAACCCTAGAAGCTTGGAGCTGCTATGGAGCTTGGTAGATGGCGATTCCAAGAGACTGCGAGCGACCTTCGATTTCTCGAAAGAGAGAATCAAGAAGCTGAAGGAGTCTCTGATCCCCAAATTCCCCAACCCTAATTACCTATCGAGCTTCTTCCTGACCCTGGTGCACACCCAGGTTTGCCTCGTGAAGGCGACGACGTGGTTCGATTCGCTGCCCATGTTGGTGGAATTGAAGAGACCCAGGTGCTGGCTGGCGACGGCGTGGGTGAAGTCAGTGGTGGGGAGATGATGAAGGCGATGCCGTGGCCGCCCGTCAGTGGAGATTCTGGGACAATGGCGAAGACAAAGGTGGTGGAGAAGGAGAGGGAATCGGTGGAGGAATTGGGGTTGAATTTGAAGGTCTGGTGGTGGAAGGCGTGGCCGGTGACGAGCTGGGTGTGGTTGGTGAGCTGGAGCATGCCGTCGGAGAGAATTTTGGCCTGGCTGTCGATGAGCAGATTGGCTTTGTGGAAGCCATTGTAGGTGAAGCTGGTGGTGGTGGTGGGTTCTGGGTTTTGGGAATTGGCAGCGGGGAGGAGCGTGGAGAAGTGGATAAGGTGTGGTGCTAGAAGATGAGGGAGGGAGATGGAGGAAGCAGAGCCATGGCGGAAGAGAGAGAGAGAGGCGAAAGGCAGAAGATAAACAGAAGGCAGAGGAGGCATATTTTTCTGGGTGGGTTAATGGTTTTTTTAGGTTGGGTGGGTTGGGTTGTGTTTATATGAGGTGGCAGGTTTTTCTGATGTGGCGGGTCAATTTCTATTTTTTCTTGGGTTAAAATTGGGTGACTAGGCATCTCTGTTAGCCACGTCAGCAGTTAACTGACGGCACAAACGGAGTCTGACGGAGGTTAACGGAGAGTGACCGAACTTGGACTGTTCAACTAATTTAAGTGACTACGAATAGAATAAACGAATTCGAGTGACCAAACATGAAATTTTGTACCAATTCGAGTGACCAAACTTGCAATTTAGCCCATTTTGATAGGATGAGATGACATTTGGTAAAATTTTGCCCAAACGGTTAGCAAGAATTTTAGAAATAATTTTGTAGAAAACCTGACGGAAGCCGACCAGACGGAGTTGGACACAGGTTTCAACATTATGAACTTTGAAAAGACAAAGCAAATGCCCAGTTTGAAAAAATGAATCGCTATTTGCCGCCCGCAGTTTTACTATTTGCCGCCCGTAGTTAGAAAAAAAAGACGATTTTGCCCTTAACCCTATCCCACCCTCAACCCATCTGCTGCCGCCCCCTTCAACCCTCCCTCCTCCTGTCGACCTCCCGCCGCCGACGACCCTCCTCCTGCCGGACCTCCCGCCGCCGCCGACTCCTCCCTCCTGCCAACCTCCTGCCGCCGACTCCTCCCACCGCCGCCGCCGACTTCCTCGCTCGCTCTCGCCGCCACCAACCTCCCAAGCTCGGCGGAGGGAATTTTTTTTATTTTTTTTTTCAGTCGCCGTCCGACTGGCCGGAGCGGACGCCGTCCGACTAGCCGGAGCGGACGCGGTCCGACAGGCCGGAGCGGACCCCGTCCGCCCGGTCTGGTCGGACCCCGTCCGCCCGGTCTGGTCAGACCCCGTCCGCCCGGTCTGGTCGGACCCCGTCCGCCCGGTCTGGTCGGACCCCGTCCGCCCGGTCTGATCGGACCCCGTCCGCCCGGTCAGGTCGGACCCCGTCCGTCCGGTCTGGTCGGACCGATCTGATTGGGTTTATGATTCGGTTTGAATGGTTCGGTTTAAATAAATATTTATTAGATTTATTTTAAATACAATTGTTAGTATCTTAATTAGTTTAATATTGATAGTTGAATAATTAGTATATAATTGTTAATTTGACCACAATTGGTTAAGGGAATTAGGGTTTGACTTAATTAGGGTTTGACTAAATTATATATTATTTGACCACGGTTGGTTGAGGAAATTAGGGTTTGACTTAATTAGGGTTTGACCCGAATTAGGGTTTGACCTGAATTAAGGTTTGATTTAATTAGTTTTTGGCCCGAATTAAGGTCTGATATAATTAGGGTTTGACTTAATTAGGGTTTGACCCGAATTAGGGTTTGACTAAATTATATATTATTTTGACCATAGTTGTTTGAGGGAATTAGGGTTTGACTTAATTAGGGTTTGATTCGAATTAGGGTTTGACTTAATTAGGGTTTGACCACAGTTGAAATAATCTCACCCAAGATGACGGATAACAACAATAAGAATCAACTCGACTCAACTGGACCAATAATGATAATAAAGAAGGAAAGCATCTCATCCACCTCCTATACCTTATACTCCTCTGAAACCCTAAACCCTCATTCCCCTTGAATAGCTACCTTCAACCTCGATCCATCCAATCCTACTAGGAAATTATTTTAGAGGCAAAATCATCTCTTCCTCCACTAACAATAATATTTCGTCTCGTGGAAATATACGTGATAGGCTCAAGAAACTCCTAGTTACCACCCCCAGAGCCCTAAAAACACCTCGATGAAAGTTTTGGCACTATTCATCTCTTTTTGTCGGGAATGTCCGATTGATAAACAATCGATTCCAACACATTGGTATCCACATTTTAAGAGATCGATGAAAGTTTCAATATTTTTTCATGTCGGTGACTCTAGTAATTTGTAAAAGATGTTTTTGCCCGACCTTCCCCGAGCCGCAAAGAGTCCTCTTCGTGCCTCGATTCCTTGGAAGTTTTATAAAACATATTTTAGGTACGATGATCTTATTAAATATGAAATAAATACAATTAAAAAAAGATTTAATCAAAATTTATAAATATTTTATAACTATTTTACATAATTAAAATGAATTATTCATAAGTTTATACAATATTTATGATAATTTATGATTAAATATCCATTTTCTTATACACTACTTAAGATCATTTGTAATTATTTAACATACTATAATTATTTAATTGCTATTATACTGAATTTATTTATTTTAGCTCTACTACATAATTATAAAATAAGTATGAATTAGTTTGTACAATATTTTCTATAATTTAATTTTTTTTCTTATGAATAATTTTTAGTTTTTCTAATTCATAAATATAATTAATAAACATACATATAATTATTAGCATGATATAATATTAAAAAAATAGAAGATTGAGTTAAATAATTATTATCATTTAGCGACGAATTTTGTGACGGTTTTGAAACTGTCGCTAATGCACGGTCCGCTCGCCGGCGTCGGACGGGGTCCTCCCGCCGGCGTCGGACGGGGTCCTCCCGCCGGCGTCGGACGGGGCCTCCCGCCGGCTGTGGTGATTTGGTTCTGGCCGCGGTGATAATCTGGAGGTGGTGGCGACGTCGACGATTTGGCGGCGGTGGTGGATTGGCGCCGGCGACAGTAGTGGTGGAATGAGGTTTATTTTATAAAAAATGAACAAAGGGTAAAAATGTCATTTTAGTTTAATTTACGGGCGGCAAATAGTAATGAGGCGGGCGGCAAATAGTAACCCTCTTGAAAAAAGGATTGGACTCATGTCCAACGACATCCCAGTAATGTTGAAAGAAGAGGGCAGAGGGCCCGATTTGGAACACATTAATTAATGATAGAGCAAGTGACCGGAGCTAACAAACAAGGTAGAATTCATGTCCGAAGTAACCCGCGGTGAAATGGGTAACGCATCCACAGCAGCCTCAATATTAGTGGCCAGCCCTTCAGATGAAAATAAATGGGAGAAATGAGAAACCGTCTCCAAGCCCTTATCATCTTCTTCAGTGACTACTTGCCCCGTGGGTTGGCGAAGAGCAGCAACAAAATTCTGTCCTACTACGAGTCTGAGTTTAAGTTCCGCATGCAAACAGTACATCGGATCGGAGAGCCGACTACAGGTAAGTTCCAAAAATGTTCAATGATTAACCGAGCTTCCGGATTAGAAATCCAGCGGCTGTCAAAACGAAAAAGACGTTTTGGTTTAGAACGACGGCGCTGCCAGCGACCCGATATCGGAGAGATGAGTAAAGAACTCGGTCCAAAGTCCAAACGAGTTTCCACCAACAAACTCCCAGAACCGTGATTAGACCGGGTAAATGTAGGACCACGGAATCCAATATCAATCAACCCAAATTATTGTGTGTATAATGGTGAACAGTGCAACAAAATAGAAAATGGGGAGCAAGGTTCTCCTTCTATACAATACAAGGGAGAATCTGAAGCCGAGGAGCTTAATCACTGCCGGACCAGCGGTCGCGTGTTGTCCCAAAGCCATTGTGAAGCAGAACCTTCAACCAGAGGAGACACCTGTTGAATATATGTACATTACCTTTATGATCAGTTTCACCAAAGACAATCATTATCAAAACACAAACAACAAAACTATTTGCAAGTCTCTCAACTGATAGACAGGATCCTTTTTACCTTCTCCCAGACTTGTGAATGGTAATCGTTAAGCCAATCAATCTCTGCATCAGATAGCAACGATACTTCCACCATTTTTTTCTGCATCCCCAACAAACCAAGATGATCATGAGAAATGGCAAAAATCCGGAAAGTAGAGAGGAAAAAGTTTGCTCCTTGGATATCTTTTTCTTCCCATCCATGGATACATAAAAGAAAACAAGTTGGGAAGGGAACAATGGAAGTAGTTCTTCTAGATAATATGAGGTGATCTTGACCTGAATGGGGACGAACGTGAGTTTCTCAAAAGCCAGATAGCCTATTCCCCCAAAACGGTATTTAGTGTTTGCCTCTTTCACATGAAGGAGATTCTGTGATATAAAGCCACCAGAGATGAATGTCAAGCGGTTAGGATGAGCAGGTTTGTAGATCCAGTCCAGTGAATAGCAACTGTACCTCAATTCGGATTCCAAAAGCATGATCTTCGTAGTATCCAGGCTCGTTGCTGACTATCATGCCCTTCTGCAAGGGAGTCGTGTTCCCATATCGGAAGCTGATACTTTGAGGGCCTTCGTGAACATTCAGAGCAGCTCCCACGCCATGTCCCGTCCCTGACAGAATTTTTAGGAGACGAATGAGGGCTTGAATTATACGACATTACATGATTTGAGAGTTAAAAGGAAACAAATGTACCGTGGCGGTAATCAAGGCCGATTTTCCATAGAAAGGAACGTGCAAACGCATCCAGTACAAAGCCAACGGTAGTTGCAGGGAATACTGCTTCATCCAGTGCAATATGGCCCTGCCATCAATCATCAACTGAGAAAACTACAATCTACTTCTCGACTCAATTGACATCCCATGAGAAGTTTAACGATGAATCTACAAAAAAGAAAAGCTTTGAAAACCCAACAAACTCAATACCTGTAAAACCCGGGTGAAGCATTCCTTTTCATGTGCAGTTGGTTCGCCAAAGTGCACTGTCCTTGTTATGTCTGTGGTTCCATCAACGTATTGAGCTCCACTGTCTAATAAAAAGAGCTTCTTTGAATCCACAATGCTACAATTCCCTGGTTCAGGTCTGTAGTGTATGATTGCGCCATTTGCACCAGAACCTGCAAAAAAATTCTCATGTTAGTGAAACAGCCATCAAGCGGAAGGATAAACAAACAAGGCCATTGTTCTTGGAATTTGCTAGGTCTAATAGAGTATGAGGGTTAATGCAGTACCACTTATTGTATCAAAGCTAGTGTCGATGAATCCATCCTGTTGTTGACGAAATTCAAGCAGTTTATCAGAAACATCAACTTCTGTTAGCTTTGCACCCTTGTGAATTTCATCCTCGAGCCAAGTCCAAAACTGTGCTAAGGCAGCTGCATCTCTGTACGATTTAAAATATTATAGGCCTCAGCATATGCAAGAATAATGAACTACTAATGCAAATTCTACCATAAAAGAAACGAAGTAAAAAAGCTTTAGATTGTGGTAAAAATGAATTTAAGGGAAGAAAGTCACCTCAGGTGAGCATTTCGCATGCCTTCTAACTCGTAAGGATTTTTCACAGCTTTTGCCAAAGAGATAGGGGATGCCCTATAAACTCCACATGGTCCCCAAGATTGACCACTGGAGCCATTAGATACTTTAGGATTCTTACTCTTGCTGTTATCTTCACTTCCAAGGCTTTCCAAGTGTTTGTCACCAGCAGCCTTGTAGGTATTCGCTATGGCAGCATTAATAGAAGATGGATCCAACCATAGTTCAGTACCCTTCAACGCCAAACTGCAACATTAAAATCAAATCCCAGTAAAACTTTGCCGAAAAGCAAGGCCTAGATCAGAAACAGAAAACCAAGTCATGCAAATGTAAGATTTCTTATATCAAGTGCATATATCTTGTTGTGGATGATACGAATATCTGCATATTGCCAGATGTGCTGCCAATAAGCAAGTTATATAGAAACTTAACTGAATGGAGAACAGAAGATGAGTACCCACCTCTCAATCTCAGAAAGAATGGAGCCATATGGCCTCAACTCGACACCTCCATTCTTCAAATGGTGTGAGACCTCTGGAGTGACTTTTGAACTATCAACAAACAATTTGGTATCATCCATCGTGACCACCAAATATGCATACATAACAGGAGAATTGGGAACATCGCCGCCTCGCTGCAATAAAGAATCAAAATGCGTCCTTCACATTATAAATGCACAGCGGAAAGATAAGATTCGATTGAAAGGCAACGATTCTCTCAAAATATTACCAAGTTCAGGAGCCAAGCAATTTCATCAAGCATCGAAACAACAATCGCTGAACAACCAGCATCAACAAGCTGAGACCTGAGAAAAGATAACTTCGACACAACATCGACGCCAGCATATTTCAGTTCATGCACCCTGATAGGCGAATTTGGAGGACCTGGCCTCGATTCTTTCCATATCTCATCCACAAGGTTCACATCATACAAGTAGACTAGTTCGTGATCCTTCCTCGCTATGTCTTCCTTCAATTCCTCAGCAGCATCAAAAGAGAAAAGGAACTGTTCTGTTCACATTGTCAAAAACTATCAGGAACCCATCGAATGAAAAGACTTAAACCAGTTTCATCGAAGTCAGATACAAAATTGCTCACAGGATCAATGCCAACTTTGGCTCCAGGAGCCAAGACATCATTCAACCATTCACTAGCTGTTGGAACTCCAAGATTCCCGGACCGCATCAGAATCCAACTAGAATTCAACTGCTTCTCACCCTACACCATATCAAAGTACGAAACTTCAACAATCGAATCACCTACAAATTAAGCTGCAACCTTTGCACTTTTTTCCCAAACCTGGAGAAAATAACGGCCATCCGTCCAAAGAGCTGCCTTGTCCTTAGTAACCACAGCAGTCCCCGCGCTTCCGGTAAACCCAGAGATAAACCCTCTCCGCATATAACACTCGGCAATGAATTCACTCTGTTCCAACCAAATCCCTACTCACTAAATAAGCTGAACAACAAAACCGAACATCAATGGAGAAGGGAAATGACATTTGTTCCCCAAACCTGGTGAGCATCCTGAGAAGGGATAACGTAAGCGTCGATTCCAATCCCGGGCTTGGAGAAGAGCTGGCGAAGAGCTCGGAGCTTCTTGTCCTCTGGCTTGGAGCTGTCTAAGGAGCCCTTCTTTTTCCGGAGCTCAGAAGACGGCTTGGCGGAGATGGAACTGCAATTCCGAATCGAAAGACGGGATCTTGATTGAGTGAATTTGAATCCGGGATTGGTCCGGAAAGTCGGGAGGATTGGTTTGGCGAGAAGGGAGGAAGAAGAAGAAGAAGAGAAGAATGTAATCGGGGAAAGGTAGCGAGAAGATGAGGAACAGCAAGAGAGGTAGAGCGGCCGCATGATTGGCGATGGTAGTGGCAGCAAAGCAAAGCTTACCGAGAAGCTGAATTTTTTCCTGATTTCTGGTTAAAGAGTTCAGAGCCAAAAGATAAGAAGACGACGACTGGAGTCGGGAAACAAATCAAACAATTGAACGGAACGACGTCGTTACGGCAGTTCCCCATTACTTAACGATGTCGTTTCGTTGTTTGAGGACAGACCTTTTGGAAACCTCTCACTCTCAGATACTGCTACAAGGAAAAAGTGATCACCTTTTGCTTCTCGAACTATGCTGTAAAGTTGCACAAAGAAAAAGCTTCGATCTTTTCCCATTTCCATTCACTGCCTTCATTTCTTCCGATCTCTACCCTGCTGTAGATCTTCGTTTCATTTCAAGGATTTGGCAATGGCGATCATCACTGAGGAACCAGAGCCGTCGCCGCCGGCGAAAAGCCCAAAGCCTAATGTTAACCAATCTGAGCCCAGCTCCAGAGTAGAGAGTACTAAGAATAGCAGCAGCCCATTTGTTTTCTGGTTCTACTTTACTCTAGGAGTGTCCGTAATCACTCTATCAACCGTCTTCCTCTCTTCCTTTTCCCCATCTTCCGACCCCAAATCGTTTTTCCTCTCACTCTCCACACCACTCCGGCAACACTACTCCAAAGGCCGGATTGTGAAGGCACAGCTCTCTCTGAACCAGAAGCCAGTTGAAGTTTTCGTTTATGAGAGCGAGAAAGGTAAGAAATTTGATGCTGAGAAGGTATTGATCGTTCATGGGCTAGGTTTGAGCTCATTTTCCTTCAGAAAAGTTGTCGACTTTCTGGGTTCCAAGGGGATTCATGGGATTGCCTTTGACTTGCCTGGAAACGGGTTCTCTGATAAATCGAGAGAAGTAATGGAAGAAAGAGGGGATGGTGCTTTTGAACGTTTGTTGGATGTTTATGCTTTGATTAAAGAGAAGGGTGTGTTTTGGTCGTTTGATAACATGGTAGAAACTGGGCAGATCCCTTATGAAGCAGTTCAGTCCCATTTCAGTGAGAAGAAGAGTGTTGTTAGACCGATAGCGCTAGGAAGTGAGGAGATTGGTAAGGTTTTAGGGCAAGTGATGTTCACAATGGGGATAGCTCCTGTTCATTTGGTTTTGCATGATTCAAGCCTGAACATGGTTGCCAATTGGGTTTCTGAAAATCCAGGGTTGTTTAGGAGTGTCACTCTGGTTGATACCGGGTCAAACTCAGCTCTGCCATTAAGGATCCTGGAAGTTCCCTTGGTCAGGGAAGTTGTGTTGGGGTCTAATTTTGTATATAAAAAGTTGATCAGTACATGCTGCTCAAAAGGGATAGGTTCTGCGGATCTGGAAGCACACAGGATGGTTTCGAGAGGCAAAGATGGTTGGAGGGCTACTGTGGGCACTGAGAAGTTGCTGAATGGTAGCTTTGACATAGGTGAGTGGGGAAGTTCGGAGGGGATGAGAGGGATTCCAATTCAGGTGGTTTGGTCAAGGAGTTGGTCGAAAGAGTGGAGTGATGAGGGACGTCGAGTGTCTGAGGCTCTTCCTCGGGCGAAATTCGTCGAGCATTCTGGTGGTCGATGGCCTCAGGTAAGATATTTCTTCTGATCTATTACTTTGCTTTGCAACCGATAAATTATCTGTATTGTAGAATGGTGATGCATGGAGATTGGTTCTGATATAGTTTTCACAATCGATCTAAGATTGTGTCCTCGCGTCTTAGTTTATCTTTATGAACTTGCTTTCAATTTCTGAGAACTTGTTTACAGTCATACGGAATTTCTAGAAGGACATTGTAGAAATTACTTAGATGTACTCGCTCTGACATTCCCTTGCCTCCATTTTTCCCACCGTACTGACATCAAGTTTTTTGAGGGAAGACTGCTTATGCGTAGAAATGTGGTGATGAAGCTGCTCTTAATTTCTCTTGAGATTTGTCGACTGCTTACTGACAACATATGGCATCCATTTTGTCTTCTTCATCCTGATATAGTTTGGTCAATAGACAATAATAGAAAACATTTTTAAGAAGCTAGCATCTGAAACCGTAGAATCTAAAAATGCTCATGTCTTGTGCTGAGATACAAGTCAAATTGGTCAGCCCTTCTCGAAACCCATTAAGTGAGCCTTCTTATCTTACAAACATCTTTTCTTCGTTGATGGTTCCCCAGTAATGGCATGTTCATGGTGCTCTTAACCTGCAAATGTTACGTTTTTTAAGCTTAGTTTCCCTCGGGCCATGTTTTTCAGAGAACAAGAACAGTCTTGAATGTCTTGTCTGAAACTGCTGTGCATGATCTCACCCTTAAAGCAGAGATGAATCCTGATGTCACGATGACTGATGAGCTACCCTTCCTCCAGATTTCACTACGAAAGCCAAATATGTTTGCCTAGCATGATGAGTTACAAACTGTAAACAATCCCCGTTCTTGTTTAACAGTATGCATATATAGGTTAGTTCTATTTCTGATAAAAACAATTTTATGTTCAATATGTTTTGCTTAATTCAATTATTTAACATGGTTCCTTCTGCCCTAAATAGTCTTGTGTTAGTATTTCCGTGATGAATGTTTGGATTATGAAACTCAGTTTAGTTCCTCAATTTTTCTTTTGTTGGTCCCAGGAAGACACAGCCGAGGAGATAGGCGAACGAGTAGCCACATTTGTGTCATCTCTACCAAAGTCATTTAGACAAGCTGAAGAGGAGTCCATACCAGACCACATCCAGAAGCAGCTGGATGAGGCAAAACAAAATTCTCATCATCATCACCACGGCCACAGCCACAGCAACGGTCACTCTGGCCATGACCACGACCATGACCACAATCATGGACAGGCCGCAGGCTACATGGATGCCTATGGGCTCGGCCAGGCATGGGGAAGCTAGATTCTGAACACTAAGGGGCTGCTGCAACGGTGAGAGATCGACTGTTAGCATGATCTTTAACCCGAAAAATCACAAACCTCGGATGTCATATATGCCCTTTTTTTGGGTCTTGACTCTTGTTCAATTTTGCAGTTAATTCTCCCTATTCTCTATCTAGCTTAGGTCACAATGTGACTCAGGTTATCTGGTTTTCTTTCCCCCAACCCTATCTGATCATCAAATGAGCACTTGTATTGTCTATTTGGTACTTCATGATGATACTAATCTCCTTTCCTCGCCCAAAAGAATCTAATTCACGCATTACTTCTGCAAAGTCATTGATTTAGTTCTCCTACTTGACGGGAACCAAGCTCATGGTATATAGTGAGATACAGTAACGGGAACCAAGCTCATGGTAACATAGTGGGATACAGATATAAATAGTAGTCTACATAGAGAACACTATACATTCTTGTATAGAGAACGCAGTGCAGAGAAAACACGGCATAACATATTGAAATTCAATTCAATTGCAACGGTCGCCTTCCGCAGCGACGACGTTTTATTCTAGCAATCAGTTTCCTCTTGCAGCGTCGTTTCATGAGGCAAGTTCACTTGATAGAACGATGCCGTTTTGAGGAGACGATCATCACTTGTTGGAACGATGTCGTTCCCTTCTTCTTTCGGCTGTACTTTCTTTTTATCCAAGCTATGTAATGTTTCCTTTCCAAACTTCCAAACAAACCATCCATGGAGCTTGTCCTGTAATGAGTTTGGACTGCCTATAAGAGGCAGAGTTTCTAATGAGAAAGACAGGCTTTTAGGGTTTCTCCTCACTCCATGTTCTTTGTTATGGTATCAGAGCCCAGAGTTCAACCCTAGCCGCCGCCCTCATCTTCTACAATGGCTGACAATCAAGCCCAAAATGAGCCTCAGGTGGAGCAACCCAATGTTGTTCCTCTTGCTCCTATCGATCCTTTATCCGATCCTTTCTTCCTCCATGGCTCTGAGCAGCCTGGATCTCTTCTCGTGGCAGCAAAGTTCACGACAACAAACTACAACGACCGGAACATGGCAATGTTCAATGCCCTTGTAGCCAAAAACAAAATAGGCTTCATCAATGGCACCATCCCAGAATCAGCAGCCACAGATGCTAGACATGGTGCTTGGACACGCAACAATGTCATGGTGCTTAGATGGATTCAACAGTCCACATCTCCAGACATCAGGAAGACCATTCTCTCCATCAAAACTGCAGCTGAAGCATGGAAAAGCCTTCAGACACGTTATGGATCTGGAGATCTCATCCGCATTGCTGAACTCGAAGAAGCACTCTCCACTCTTCAACAAGGTACTCAATCAGTTACTGAATACTATGGAAGAGTGATTACTTTAAGAGATGAACTGGAGAATTATCAACCACTGCTCCCTTGTACTTGTACACCTACAAGTCAGAATGATTGTGCTGCTATGATTCGAGTCCTTCAATATCAAGAAACAAACTATGTTATTAAATTCCTTCGTGGCTTAAAACAACTTTTCTGGGGTGAGAGCTCAAGTACTATTTGGAGATGAGCTCCCAAACATAAACAGAGTTTTCCAAAGGATGCTTCAACATGAACGACAACTCTATGGCACTCATACTTCCAGAATGGCTGCTTCTCTACAATCAGACTCCTCTGTTTTAGCATTTCAAGGTGCCAACAGAAGGGGTTCCACCAACTCTAAGCCACCATTTTGTACCTTCTGTAAAAGAGAAGGTCATACAGAAGATATATGTTTTCAGAAACATGGATGGCCCCCTGGGATGTCCAAACCCACTCAATCCACTGCTGGCACTATCACTACCTGCACCTTCTGCAAAAGAAGAGGACACACAGAAGAAAAATGTTTCCAGAAACATGGCTATCCTGCTAATTTTGTTCCAAGGAATGGTCCTCCTGTTCCTCCAAGAGGCAAACCTACTGTTAACATGACCAGCACTTCTTCTACTAGCTCTGATGAAGTCAAACTCACAAGGGCAGATTATGACAAGCTTATGAGCCTCATGAATGCTCAAAAGGGTCAGTCTTCTTTCTCTGCTGCAGCCTATGTTACACAGACAGGTACCAGTTCATATTCTCTACCATCTTTACCTATATTGAGTGTCTCCCAGAGTCCACAACAGAGATGGATTGTGGACACAGGTGCTTCTGATCACATAGTATGTTCTTTAACATTTCTTCATGACAGAAAGACCTTAGACAATGTCTTCATAACTCTTCCCACTGGGGAACAGGTTCAAGCCACTCATTCTGGCACTGCCATTTGCAATGATGATTTAATCCTTCATGATGCTCTATATGTTCCCAACTTCACATTCAATCTCATTTCTGTCAGCAGACTCACTTCCAAAAACTCTCTTTGCCTAACCTTTCATTCAACCATGTGTCTTATACAGGACCTGAAGCAGATGAGAGTGATTGGTTCTGCTAGGCTTTGCAATGGTCTCTATTTCCTTGAAGCATCCCTTTTTCCTAAGTTGGTCTCTGCTGATTCCACCTCCACCTTTGATTTATGGCATTTTAGACTAGGACATGTATCCCATTCTAAAATCCCCATCATCAAACAATTTTGTACATCCATTTCCACTCACCAAGACCAACCCTGTGATGTTTGTCATTTTGCAAAACAGAAGAGACTCTCTTTCCCTTCCAGTCAGTCTCTAACTATTTTACCTTTTGAATTACTTCATGTAGACATCTGGGGTCCAAACTCCACCCCCACTTATGATGGCTTTAAGTACTTCTTGACGATTGTTGATGACTACTCTAGAATGACATGGATTATATTGCTTCAACTTAAATCTGAAGCAAGACCAAAATTGATTGCCTTCTGCAACCAAATGGAGAGGCAGTTTGAAATAAAAATTAAAAGAATCAGGAGTGATCAAGGCAGGGAGTTCCAGATGGATGATTTTTTTCTTCCACTGGTATCCTGCATGAAATGTCATGTGTAGAAACTCCTCAACAAAACATTAACCCTCTGTTTCCGAAGGAAGGGAGGAAAATGGAGGGGAGGGGAAGGGAATTAGGAGGGGAGGGATGATTAGGAGGTTAAGGAAATTGGAAAGAAAATGATGTTATGGAGGAAAGTGGGAAGGAAAATGTGTATTGGAAATTGTAATGGATATATTATTTTATTGGGTATGTAAGAATTGAATAATTTGATTATATGTTTATATTATTTTGATGGGTTGTGTATTGTGAAGATGGTGGAGGAGAGAGATGATGCAGGAGAGAGATAACAAAAAAGAAAAATAAAAAGGGCCAACTTTTTCTTCTTCTCTCTTCTTTCCCTCCAATTTGGAGGGATTGATGGTACAGTAAATTTTCTTTTCTTTTCCCTCCCCCCCTTCTTTCAGAAACAAGGGAAAGTGCATTGGGAATTTAATTTCCCTTCAAACACTTTCCTTCACCCCCTTTTCCTCCGTAAAAAAACAGGGGGTAAAGTAGAGAGGAAACATCAGCATATCCTTGTTGTAGCTAGAGCACTTCAGTTTCAAGCCAACTTACCTTCTACCTTTTGGGGTGACTGTGTCAAGCATTCAATTCACCTCATCAATAGAGTTCCTTCTCCAGTTCTAGCAAACCAAACTCCTTTTGAAATGCTATATAAATCCCCACCTGACCTCAATGAACTGAGATTCTTTGGTTGTTTACCATATGCCAGTACTCCCAGTAATCACATAACCAAATTTCAACATAGAGCAAGAAAGGCTGTTTTCCTAGGTTTTCCTTCTGGCATTAAAGGCTACAGGTTGTATGATCTCTCATCTCATGAAGTATTCATATCTAGGGATGTCATTTTCTTTGAGTCCCACTTTCCTTACCAGCCTGATCAGCAGCAAGACCAATCTTCAAATCAACCAGATACATTCTTTCCCATTCCTTCCACTGAATCTCATCTTGTTCATGATGATTCTCTACCTCCTTCCCCTACTAACCCCTTAGCTCTACAACCTACTCTTCCTCTATCTGAACCAACAACTACATCAGGTTCTTCTACTTCTTCTTCCCCTGATCCATCAACAAATACTGATTCACCAGGTCCTTCTGATCCTTCTCATACTGTAACCAATCCCACATCCCCACCTCCTGTTGTTAGACGTTCAGACAGGACTTCTAAACCACCTCCTCGCCTCATTCAAAACTATCATTGTTACCTACCTCAAGGCCCTAGCAACATCAATCACTCAACACTGCAACAGGTCCAAGATACCAGGTATTCCTTCTCCAACATGATCTCTTATGACAAGCTTTCCTCCAATCACAAACGTTTTCTCCTAAACATTTCAAGTTACAGAGAACCTGAAACATACAATGAGGCTACTCAACATGACATTTGGAATGATGCAATGCAGTTAGAGATCAAAGCATTACTCAGAAATCATACATGGGAAGTTGTCAGTTTGCCTAAGGGTAAGAAACCAATAGGCAACAAGTGGATCTACAAGGATAAGTTTCTTTCTGATGGTTCACTTGAGAGACATGAAGCCAGATTAGTGGCAAAAGGAAATACTCAACAGGAAGGTGTGGACTACCAAGATACATTTGCTCTTGTCATAAAAATGACAAGAATCAGGACCTTTCTATCCATTGTAGCCATGAGGTACTGGCACATACAACAGTTAGATGTAAACAATACCTTCCTTCATGGTGACCTTGAAGAAGAAGTGTACATGACACTGCCAAAAGGCTATGTGCCTCCTTCTGATGTGCCAAATCCAGTTTGCAGGTTAAGAAATTCTATTTATGGTTTAAAACAGGCATCATGACAGTGGTTCTCCAAGCTTATTGGCAAATTACAACAGGTTGGATACATTCAAAGTCAAGCAGATCATTCTCTCTTCTTCAAGGTCACTGAAACAAGCTACACATGCATTCTCATTTATGTGGATGATTTGGTTTTGGGGGGGCAATGATATTACAGAAATCGAAGAACTGAAAAAGATTCTTCACAATGAGTTCAGTATTAAGGACCTTGGCAATCTGAGGTATTTTTTTGGGAATTGAAGTGGCTCGCAGCACATCAGGCATTCATTTGTCACAAAGAAAGTATGCTCTGGAAATTCTTGAAGAAGCACAGGTTCTTGATTCAAAAACTGTATCAACACCAATGGACTACAAACTTCATCTAAGCAATGATTCAGATAGTGCTTTTGAAGACCCAGAAATTTACAGGACACTCGTTGGCAAGCTAATCTACCTCACTACTACAAGACCTGACATTAGTTTTGCCACTCAGCAACTAAGTCAGTTCCTGTCATCACCATCCAATACACATTTCAAAGTTGTCCTGCGTGTCCAACGTTACCTCAAATCAGCTCCTGCCACTGACCTCTTCTTTCCTTCAAAGGGTACTTTCCAAATCAAAGCCTTCACCGAT